AGAGTGAGGGTAAATGGACACCTATCGAGGAACTTCCATTTGAAAAGAGGAACCAGACTGTCACGCCCCACTCCGTCCGCTCCTAGTGTGTGCCACGCCCCCTCATTACCTCGTGTTCAGCCCTGATTGCGATCCCCTGTGTCCTGTTATTTCTGGCTTGTCTCTTGTATTTAGTCCTAGTCTTAGTCAGTCTTGTCAGATCTGTCATTGTAGTGTTACCCAGTGTTTGCCGTCCTGCTTCCCCAGTCCTGTCCTGCCTAATAAATCCCCGCTTTACCCGACTCCCTGGCTCCGTTTCCCTGCTTCCCCGATCGACGGCACGCCGCAACGTGACACAGACAGGGATGTCCATTATCTGCCTTATTATTTGCAATCAGTATAGAGCCCTTGGCAGAAAGCATACGAGCAAATCCTAGTGTACTAGGGGTACAGGTGGGTGGAGTGAATCACAAAATTTCACTGTATGTGGATGATGTTATTTTGTACATCACTAACCCCCTGACCTCCAGAATTGAAACAATTCTGAATTGACACAATTAGAATTGAAACAATTAGAATGAATATACTTCCCAAATTTTTTTTTTTTCAATCACTTCCCATATGGATACCAGCATCTAATTTTAAAAAGCTAAACAAAATACTTCTTGCATTTATATGGCAGACAATGATACCCAGAATTCGAAAAAAGTTATTATTTAGCCCAAAAGAAAGAGGTGGCCTTGGTTTCCCTAACTTGATGTGGTAGTATTGGGCAGCACAACTTCGTGGTGTAGTTGAGGGGGTGGTACAAGATGAGGAAACAAATTGGATAGGATTGGAGAACTGTGCGTGCTCATTAGTACCTTTAGAGATAATACCATTCATAGAACAAGAGGACTGGAGAGGTCTTAAAATTAAGAATGAATGGATTATCAGCACCCGTAGTGTCACGATCAGCTCCGAACGATCCTTGTGTGTGCCATGCCCCCTCATTACCTCATGTCGACTCCTGATTGTTCCCACCTATGTCTAGTTAATTCCAACCAGTCCTGTGTACTTAGTCCGTGTCCGAGTCCAGTCCCGTCAGATCTGTCATTGACGTTAGTAGTGCATTGTTCTGTGGTTACCTGTCCGCCCTGAATAA